GGGAGAAGGGCAAAAGAAAAAAAAAGAAAAAGGTAAAGAGTTCAGTTGAGTGCTCGGTGCAAAATTTCAGGGCTGAAGCACATGTAAAAATTTTGAACTCAACATGTTCAACCATGAATTCTTGTTTTTAAATTTGTTTATGCAAGCATTTGCTTAGAAATCGAGGAAGCGTATTTAATTAACAATATCTAAGTTTTAACAGTCTTTAACATAGTATGGAAACAGAAGGCTCTCAGCAGCACCGTGATTTGCTTCTTTCTAAATATTGTCAAAATGGTCCACCGTTTTTGAAGTAACTTACTGTATTTTATATGCATTTAGGGACTGCTTTGGGACTTTCATATGCTCAAACTCGCAACCTTCTGACTCCAATCACTATGCACGCCCTCTGGAACTCAGGAGTAATCCTATTTCTTACCTTTCTTCAGGTAAATTGTTTACTTCTACTGGATTTGAATTTGCTTGGGTCCCGGGATGACCCACATTTAGTTTACAATTTAGAATGATATGCACAATGGAAATAGCTTTTATGGCACCCGGTTATAATAAAAAAAAAATTTATTCCCTTGTCAACCTGTTTATGAATGTCAGTCAGCTGAAGCACATAATGTTTATTATATAATGCTCTTCTTCTCTAAATGCATCAATAAATTCTGAAACAAAACTTCCGAAAACTAAAAACTAAATCCTTGAGAACAAAGAACCGGACCCAGTATTGTTTGGATCCTTTGGGGCAAAGTAGTTGCGAACTTCCCTTAATTTGTAATCGACTTTGCATGTTCAGGTCTATTATTATGTCTCTGTAAGTGCTGAAAATTCTGCTCCTCTTTGTTTGTTTGTAGCTCCAAGGATATGATATCAAAGAATTGTTGCAGGCATCTGGATAAAGATCACATTTTTTGAGGGTACGGACCTTGTGTAAGATTGGCTTCGGTTTTTTTTCAATGTTCCTTACAGATTGAGAATGACCAACGTATGGTAAAATGTATAAAGTTGATTAGCCTATGGAATTCCTAGCAATGGCACTTGTAGAAATACCACAAGCATGTAATTTTGTTAGCAGAACTTGTTAACTTGTAATGTATTGCAACTTTAAGTGCTTTGATTTTATATGCTTTTACAACTTAATTGTTTCTTGTGTTGTGTAACTTATGTGTACTTTCATTAGAGAGAATTTGAACTTGTGTGTTATGGTCTGGTCTGTCTTGATTTTCTAAGAGATGTTATGCATTACACTCTACAGGAATATCATTGTGATGAGCCTAAGTTTCTAATTAATTTTATTAATCCTTTTTTTTTATTGGTAAAAAACTCACTCACCAAGAAGTATAATCAACGAGTGTTCAACCTTGTTAGGGCAATATGGTAAAAAGAAAAAGAAAAAAAATTGTGTAGAAGATAAAAAAAAAAAACCTCAACAAGTTTTTTTTTGTTTTGTTTTTGTTTTTGTTTTTTTTATTTTAAAAAATCTATGTAGTCGATAACGTGCTTTATTGACTAATTGAAAGTGAAGCGAAAGATAAGAGACTACAATGGAGTTTAAATTCAAGTATCTCGTGTTACAACGGGTAACATGTTTTGCTGACAAAGTTATTTTCTTTGTCATCTATATTTGTGTTCAAATCAACTTTAAGTGGTTTGATTTTAATCATTTTACGGACTACACTCTATGGTCAATGGTCAAACCATGATCATAAGAAAAAGTTAAATAAATTATTATTAACTTAAACAAAATACTAAGATAGTTCTATGGAAAAAAACTAAAACAAGGACTAAAATAAAAAAAAAAAAAAAATGGCCTGCACATTTTATGAGGATTTACACTGTTGAGTTCTATTGTAAAACTTGTGACAGGCAATATAATAATTAGTTTGACTATATTTCACTACATGTTGCATACTTTTTTGCTATTATTATTATTGTTGTTATTATTATTATTATTATTATTATTATTATTTTACTAAGAATTTGAATTTTTTTTTTTTTTTTTAATCCTGACAATTAACTCCGACTTGGGGAGACTTGAACCCTAAAGTGGAGTTTTTTTTTTTGGCATGCAAAGGGCTTAACATTCAAAGAGGGAAGTCAAAGACTGCTTGTCCAGTCTTGCCTAGTGCACGTGACTTGTAGAATTTTGTGTGTGTCTTTAGGTGAATTAGTCTTACCTGTAACGTATGGAAATACCTCTATTAAAAAAAAAAAAAAAAAGGATTAGTAAAATTAATTCACTAAACTTATGTGGACTTTGTTAAGTTTGGCTGTGCGTGATTGATGCAAAAAGGGGTTAATGTTCACTGAGAAAGAGGTAAAAAAAAAGGTTGGATTTCAAGAATTTGACCCACTTTTCAATTTTGGTTACACGTTTGGGAAGCAAACCCTAGGTCAAGGAAAAGATATAAGAGATTCCAAACGAGGCCTATGTTTGGGAAGTTTCACTAAATTTGGAGTCTCCAATTTTAGCACTTGACTATGTGAGCTTCCCCATTTAATAGTTGGTACCATACTTGTTGTCCACTAAGCAGACATGGTTAGCAAACTAAAGCAGAAATTTGAAAAGGTGAAAAAAGAATTACTACATATGTTGAACATTTTAAGGTAGTGAAGGAAAGTCAAACAGCATTAAGTTCAATTATAATCCGTAGTAAATAAATTAATAAATATAAAAAGAGTTCCATGAAATAACCTTAGTTAATTTGTATAATTGCTTTGCAAAAAGCAAGAAATTGAGCAAATCCATACCATTGTTTTCCAAAAGGGTCACAAAATCGAAGGAAATTGACTTGTGCTTCTCTTAAATGTGCCAACACACTCATCTCTATAATTCTTTTTAGGAAGTCAGTTTTGTCCAAAGAAAAGCTAAACCAATGTATGTGTCTCTCTCACCCCCTCTTTTTTTTTTCTTTTTGTTGGTGGGATGGTAGCAATAAAATCAAGCTAGCAAAATAAAAATTGTCTTATGATATTCAAGCCAACCAGTTAAGTTTATTTGTCAAAGTGAAACAATTAAGATATTTCACTTTGAAAAATAAGCTTAACTAGTTGGCCTTAATATCATTTTCCATAAAGATTTGAACTGTGCAAAATTTTAGGAAAGTTCTTTTAATAAGGTCATAGGCTCCTAGTGTTAGAGGTTATCCAACGGATTAAGATGAAGAGGGTGTTGGACTTATAAGAGTGGTTATGCAGTATCACCTAACAGTTTAAATTTTTGATCGAATGACAAATGTCCAGCATATTACAGAGGTATCAGAACATATCCTGTCACTAGGAGAACAGTAAGCAGGGTGGTCCGACCCCAACGAGAACGTTACGAGTTCGAGTGTGGAGATAATTTTAGAACTTCTTGTCTGACATTGAATTTAGATGAAGAGAGTCTTAAACTTATAAAATCAAATATGCAAAACCACCTAACAACCTAAACTTTTAGACTGGATAACAAGCATCTTCCTCGTTTCACCTAGCTTGTAACAAAAAATGAAGGCCAAGCATAACCAGATTTTATTGTATGTACAATGTAAATTTACCACTTTTGGAGTGCCAATACAACCTATTCAAGTTCTAAGGTTGGGTTAATACCCTATAATGTCGAGGGCAAACTGTCATTTTATGGTGATAGGACACCTTTGCCCCTCTTGGCCCCAAGTCCTAGCCATGTAACCAAAAAGTCACCTTTTAAACTTGATAGGTTCAGAGTGCCAATACAACCTATTCAATTTCTAAGGTTGAGTAAATACCCTATAATATCAAGGGCAAATTATCATTATATGGTGATAGGACACCTTTGCCCCTCTTGGGCCCAAGGCCTACCCATGTAACCAAAAAGTCAAATTGCTCATGGATAGAGATTTGACTCTGAAAGACATGTTGTGGTCCCAAAAGGGTCAACTAGGACCTCTAATTTATTCTAAATAGCACAGGGTCTTTCCTCGTAGATAATGACTATATCTTATTAGGCTATATCCAATATGTCCATTTGACAGAAAATATTCAATCTGACAGATGAGTGGAATAGAAACTCTGAGAATGGAATGGAAATGGGATTTTTGGATCCTGAGAGACTAAAATATGCATAATCTCACTGTAATAGACAGTTGAATATAAATTTGAGCTCTTGCATTGGAAGTTGGTTTAGGTCCACATTACCAAATATTTAACAATTCAAACCAAGGCTATATATATATATATAGGTCCACATTACCAAATATTTAACAATTCAAACCAGGGCTATATATATATATATATATATATACTTGGAAGTTTGCTTTGTCTTGATATTTAAGAAAGAAATTTTCATGACATTAATATGAGAAGTGTGAAATACACATACAGAATCATGATCCCAAGAAACTGCTGATTTGGTAGTTTCTTGAGATTCCTCAATTTGGACTAAACAAACCACAAATGCATGGTTTCATGAAGGCACAAGTAGGAAAATAAGAGTCTTTGCTAGATATTCATTGTCTTGAGCTGGGGTTTCTTGGTAGTTGTTCTTGAGAACTTGCCCTTAACTTCTCTGTAAGTTATCGCGATCCTCGCGAAAACAAGCTTCTTTAAAGTCACCAGAAAAGACGGCTGATCCTTCGGAGGCAGACCCCTTCTCTGGAAGCATATAATGGCTTCAAATTAAGTGAACTTCTTTGTTAACTTTGTCACTTTGAGTTCATCTTTTTAGTTCATGTCTTTTAAGGTTGCTTCACAGTTGAGAGCTGTTCTTCTGTTAAGGAGTACTAGTTTTTGAACTTTCAATTCAAGGGTTTGGTTTAGTTTCTCAGAAGGTTTTACTTTTCTGTTAGGTTTATAGGATCAACAAAGACTTTCAAAACTCTCTCGTCCCTTTTAAGGATAGAAAAAAAAAACTTTAAGTTTTAGTCCATATATATTGTTTCTCTAATATTTTTTTTTCCATTGATTCTTAAATAGTGAGAAAGATTGTGAGGATATATATATATATATATATATATATAGAGAGAGAGAGAGAGAGAGAAGGGAAAGAACTGTATATGGATGAGAGGAGTGATACAGATAAAATGGATGAAGTCTTGCTGCCAGGGTTTAGGTTTCATCCCACTGATGAAGAACTAGTTGGTTTTTATCTGAAGAGGAAGATTCAGCAGAGGCCTCTCTCCATAGAACTTATCAAACAGCTTGACATCTATAAATTCGATCCATGGGACCTTCCAAGTAAGAGAAAGTTCATGTTTTTTTCTCTTTTATGCATCAACTTATTAGTCCCATGCATATATGATATAGTTTCAGTAATTTTCATTATAGAAGAGAGGGTGGGACTTGGCACAATGGTAAAGTTGTTCCATTGTGACCTGAAAGTCACGGGTTCAAAACCGAAAACGACTTCTCTGTATGGACGTAAGGCTGCATACACATGTTCCTTCCCATTGTGCACTAGACTAGCCCTAATTTTCATCATAGAAGAAATGCAACTGAGCTCTTAATTGGCATAAGCTTTTCCACTTTAGGAGTTTTATTTGTTTGAAACAAATACAAAATACAACTCTGATCCATGCATATGCACCACAGAAAAAAAAAAAAAACACACACACACACACACATTTATACATATGAAACTGAAGTTAAAACACCCTTGAACCTTTAAGAATAGGAAAAGGCTATTCCGAGGGCAAGATCTTACAGTGAGAGTGCTCTCATAATATATTTTATTCTTAAGATTATTTTATTAAAAAAAAATCATCTTCTTGTCAAGAGTACTGAAAACTTATTTTCTTTGTCCTTGTTGACGCAAGAAGAGTTGGCAACTACTGGTGAGAAAGAATGGTATTTCTACTGTCCGAGGGACCGGAAGTACAGGAACAGCACACGGCCTAACCGGGTAACCGGAGCAGGGTTCTGGAAAGCCACTGGAACAGACCGGCCCATCTACTCCTCCGACGGTTCCAAGTGCATCGGCTTAAAGAAGTCCCTTGTTTTCTACCAAGGCAGAGCTGCCAAAGGGACAAAAACCGACTGGATGATGCACGAGTTCCGGTTACCTTCTCTCACTGATCACTCAGCGCCACAAAAGCGATTTGTGGACAAAAACATTCCTACCACTGTAAGCCATTAGAAGAGTTCAATTTACATATTATTTGCAGAAACACTATATTCTAGTACACAGAGTACTAAGACACTGTGTGTTGTGGACTTGCAGGACTCATCATGGGCAATTTGCAGGATCTTCAAGAAAACTAACTCCACTGCACAAAGAGCAATATCTCACTCTTGGGTGTCCCCAATATTACCTGAAATCACCACCACATCTGATGTACTCACCCAAGGTGTACACAACACTCAGTACATCAGTTCAGAGAACATGTCATTGACAGCAAAAACAAGTCCACTCATCAAATATGGTAGTTGTTACTTTAATGATATACAACAATCTTCTTTTACTAGCTTCTCTCCTTTGGACGTCTTTCCCTCCAACAATGGAGATCTTCCCCTAAGCTACACATTTCCGTCCCTCGACATGTCAGGACCTACCAAACTCACAGTTGATGCATCTTCTATGCCACTGAACATGTCATGTTCCATATTGGGAGATTTTGGTCAGTATGACAACTTCGAAATGGAAAGGAATGGGAGTCGTGGAGAAGAGACAGACTCGATAAAGGATCCGAATGTAGCACATTTTTCTGATCAATGGGGGACTACGAAATCTGTTGGATTACCCTCCAGTTTGCCTTCAAGTCTGTCGGATGCATGGAGAGAAGATTTTCTATGGGATTCTTCCCCTTGTCCTAGTAATCAGATGTCCACTAGTTATTCAACTAACAAGTGCTATAATTAGTTAATCAAGTTGAAACACTGTAGAACCATTGTTTGTTTTCCAGTTTTGTGCACTCAAGTTCATGTCAAAACAATATAGGATAGCAGTTTATAATATTTTTTGTAAAGCCTTGAATTTCTTTTCTGACTGCGAAATGAAAAAGAATTTCTAATCCAAGTATTATAATATCGAAAATTTAGTCACTACTCTCTATGAATAAGTACAGAGATTAATTTCAATGGCTATATTACATAGCAGTTGAAACTACATATCCATCAAACTCTGGAGCCTTTATATCAAATGGTAGCATTAGTTTTAGCCTTTGTAATATATATATATATATATATATATATTTTGTTCAATAACAATGTATATATTCAGGGAAAAAAAAAAAAATAACAATGTATATGATTAAGGAGCAGTTAATTTTACAGGGTCGTTGAATTTTTTCTTTCTAAGCAGCATTATTATAGGAGACTTCCGTTAATTAGATCAGAATTTTTAGTCAGATGACGGTATTTTGGGATAGCAGAGTAATTTTCAGTCTAGATATAAAACTAGATTATTCACTCTAATGGAGCATCTCAGTTGCGAAGCCATTCGTAAGTACTGAAAATAGGGATCAGAGAATCTGCTCGCGGTTGTTCAGAACCCCATCCCTTTTCGAAAATGTCTTTCGAATTCATCAAGCCAAAATTGAGGGATGGCACTTTGTATGTTCATTCCCAGGCCAGTTCGTTTGCAAACAGAATTTGAGCTAGTAGGATTGGAGGAAATCCTAGCTGACAAGTGATTTCTTTTATTCAAATTTGAAAATAAGGACTCTTCTAAATAGACTTGCCATTGCAAATAAGCTTAACATAACATAGTAGAATTCAGGGAAGGTGTTTATATTCTATTGGAACTTTCATCTAAACAGAGACCACTTTCACTGGTCAAAATCAAAGTCCCACAATATTTTCAACAGGTGCCGCTCCCATGCTCCTAGCACGATCCCGCTCTCCCGCTCTCCGTATGTCTGGGACAGCACTCCTATTCTCAATTTGTGACTTAAATTTTGCCGCTCTCGCTCTATGTAACCTAGGTCAAAACTACAAACTATTTGCCGCTCTCACTCAATGTAACTTAGGTCAAAACTACTACAAACTATTTGCCTCTCTCATTCTATGTAACTTAGGTCAAAACTACAAACTAACTGAGCGCTAATTAGAATATCATTTTTCTATTAGATACTAAATCAACAAATCGTAATAAGAAAGTGAAAAGTATGTCTATTCTCTCATTCTACAGCAACTATGGAGAGAGTATTTTCAGGCATGAAACGTGTTAAAACATGGACGCGTAGTAGGATTTGAGATGAATTTCTTACTGACTGCTTGACCATCAACATTGAACGGGAACTTGTTTGGAAAATTGACTAGGAATCTATTATCGACGAATTCGAGTCTTTAAAGACTCGTCGAGCACAACTTAAATAGATATTTTGTAATATTTCAATTCAAATATTTATTTATATTATGTTATAAAACTCTTTTCTTTTTTTTTTTTTTTTTTTTTTTTTTCGCTTAAGAAATTTTGTTATTAAATTTATGTTTAATATTAGCCCACCCAACGACAAATCCTGAATCCGCCCTTGGAAGTAAAGAGTAAGTATTATAAAGTTTGGTGTATAGATGAAAAACGATATGCAAACCCACTGCCAAGTGTTGAGGAGGACCAATGGGATTACCTCATTAAATATTGACGTACAAATGCAGCACAAGTAATTCGTAATGTTATTTAGGTTATTTAATAATATTATATTTATCATTCCATGTATGTAGGTATATTCCTATCTAATGTGTATTCACATTTGGATAATGTTTGTGTCCATCCAAGATGAAGTTTATTTAATCCATTAACGTGGCCCAATAGAATTGTGACAAGTGTTTCGAAATAAATATAAAATTGATAATTGAGGTTTCGAATTGGTGGTTCGGGGATGATGTTTGTTTGCTTGATTTGGTTGTTGGAGTCCGAATTTGGGTGTTGATTGCTATGGGTAGTTGAATTTAACTAACAAAAATATTTCCATGTCTTTCATTTTAGGGTTAATTATAATGACACCCCCTGAGGTTTGTCCTAATGACAGCTATATACAAGTTAACCTCTTTTTAAACAATAAGACCCCTTTAAGTTTGATAAAATTAACAAGGACACCCCCACACAAGCTAAAATGACCTTAATGCCCTTTCACTTGTGAATTAACCCATTTGAATTATAAAATTACCTTTTTAACCTTTCTAATCATTTCAATTGACCAATTTAGCCCTCAAACCACCACTAAAGCTGAGGAGCCCTACACAGATTCAATCAGCTCTGCGATCATGGATTCTCCATTGGAATCTCAGTCACATCCCCGTCGTCGACCACATCAGCCTTCCATCATATCCATCCTCCAAGAACCCATCAAGTAGCTCCTCCTTAGTCGCCGCCCCGACTGCTTCTTCACCGACACATTCACCGCAGGTCCGGTGGTTCCCTGACGTCGTTAACGCCAACGGCATCCCGCGAATCATCTTCAACAGAAGTTATTGCTTCGCTCGTGTATGCGTAAGCAAAGGTCGAGTTGTTGGCGGCGGCAGTGAACCCCCAAATTGAGGCGTGGTTGCCCATGGCAGATCAAGAGGTCGTCACGGAGACGAAAGTCATCGCTAATAGATCCGGTGAGTCGAAGAACGAGATCCTTCCCGACGCCGACCTAGCACTGGCTGCAAAAACTCCAATGACCGCTTATCCTGAAACACTGGCGGCTGCCTCGAGTGCATCGGCCTCGGCGGCGCCACCCTCGCCCATAGCACAGGTGTATTAAGTGACTAAATAATTTTTTCCCTTTCTTCCTAAGTTCACCCTGTTCTGTCCATCCTCCCAAAAGCACCTACCATTCCACCACTACCCACAGCCACATCCACCACTTCTCTTTACATATATATATATATATTTATTTATTTATAACCCTAGTTGCTGTCGACGTCGCAAATGCATCACCGCCGTGTCATCCCCACTGCTAGCTAGTAACCCTCATCGGAACCCAATCTCGTCGCCCTGGTCGTCACCATCACAGGAGCCCAAAAGAAAGACTTGCAGAAGTTCTAAACGATCTAATCTTCTCTCATGTCGACCGATCTCATGAACTACGAATGTTTCCATCAAAATTTTGAATCCAAAGGTTGTGGGTGAAGAGGTGGTGGTCCGGTGGTGGCTGCGATGGTGAGTGATTTAGTGGGTTTGGGTAGACAGAAGGTGATGAGGGAAGAAAAAATGGGTGGCTGGTATTGATCTTACACAAAGGGCAATTTGGTCTTTAAAGAGTTTTGATATTTTATCATTAATAGTAATAAAATATTAAAGGACAATTTCGACTTTTCATAACCTTTTAGGGGTTGTTTGGATGCAATTTTTTATAAGGGGATGTCATTATTCAAAAAAACTCCAACTTGTATATAGCTGTTAATATGACAAACCTCAGGGGTTGTCATTGTAATTAACCCTTCATTTTACTTATATTGGGTAAAATATAGCAAGGCTCTGATTTTTGGATAAAGATACCCCTAAAGTTTGATACAATTACCAAAGACATTCCAAGGGTAATAAATTGACATTTTTACCCTCTGACGGTTATATTGACTAATTTAAATATTAAAATTACATTTCTAACCTCGTATCCGTAACTTCTTTCCTCTCTCCTCTATGTTCTCTCTTCCTCCGCCCCAACACCAACACACACATACTGTTACACAGATTCTCAGAGGATGTGGTGTACTTTCAACAAATTTCCAGTATGCCAACCCAATAGATAGCACTGTCTCGCAGATCATAGGGAACACAAAATTGGTGGTCATATGTAAGTAAACCGGTGAAACAGAATTTATACACACACACACATATATATACAGATACATATAAATATACACACCCACACACACACATATATACACAAACACAAGGCGGCGACGAGCGGAGTTCATCATCACCACTCACGCGCCCGACACGTTCATGCGACTAGATCTAACTCACGCCGAACGCGCCCACACGCTCATTCTTCCACCTTTTTCCCGACCCAACTGGTGAAACACAGTCCCAACTCCCGCGAGCTTCACCGTCCTACCTTGCGTGCTTAGGCGACCCAAAACAGAGAGCGGACCTTCACCTCCATTCAAGACCCAGAAGTTTCAAAGTCAAACCCAAACGCGGCAAACAGCGAACAACCTAAAAGGCTTCATCAATCGGTCAAGATAGCTAACTTGAGTGTAGGTCAGTGAGCATGAAGAAGATACAGTGATCTTAAGTGTCTCCATCGGTGCAAACACAAGGCCGGAACTCCATTGACTCCGACGATCTCCGAGCTGCTCCATTGATTCCGGCCAAGCTTCATTCACGCCATATACATCCGGCGAGCTTTGGCAACTATGAACACCAATAAGTTTCCTTTAGGTAGAGATGTACTGTCGAACCCAGATGAGTGAGTGTATGAGTTTGAAGAAGAATATGAAAAGTAAAAAGATTAGAGCAAGAAGTAGAAGATTCACGGTTGAAGGTCAGAGAGTGAGAGAGAAGGAAGGGGGCGAAATGAATCAAATGATGGAGATCAGATTTAGAGGGTAATTTGGTAATTTAGATATTTTTGATATTTCATAATTAAAATTAATAAAATAATGAAAAGATAAAATTGACTTTTCACATGTTTTAAAGTTTTGTTTGGATGACAAATTTTACAAAAGGGTGTGGTTGTTCAAAAATAAATAAATTTTTATTTGTCCTTATCTCAAATCTTAGGATGTCAATGTATTTTACCTTTATTTTTTATACCTTTATTGACTTCTTTACCCTTTTATAGTCGACGCATTATCACCGTGGCAATTTTTTTTTTTTTTTGAGACTTGTGCAACATAACGTTCAATCAACTTGTTTGATACCAAGTAAAAATTCAAGAGAATGAGAGCTTTATTATAAAAAAATTTAAACAAGTAGGAATCCATGTA